AGTGACAATCAAGAAAGGGTTATCTGACACGTAGATTTTGTAAACTAAACCATGAGGGTCTTTAATTTTCCATTTTAATACAGATTATTAAAAAAACTGATGTAAAGTTACAACACGTTCTTTGGAGTTATGAAGTAACCACCAAAATAAATAAATATAAGGAAAATGGCTAAGGAAAATAGAATATTGATTTGATTTTCATATAACCATGTACATACAGGTGTCCCCCCCAAAAATGTATACACACTTTGAATGATTATGAAGTCAGTGTTTATTAATATAGAGTTCATTTTCAAAATTAAGGGAGTTATCAGCTGGTACAGTGTGTATACATTTTTGGGGACATCCTATATCTCTTATATAGAAAGTTAGAACTAAGTACAAAAAAATAGTTCAGCAGCTCGATTTTATATATGAGTGCTGAGGCCAGGTGACATTTGAAGTACATGTTTTGATATGCAGAAGTGAGAGAAGGAAAATTGTGCAGAGGAAGCAATTTCTTTGGGAAGGGAATTGAGGAGGGAAGAAAAAAAAAGGGGATATTATATGTGGGCAAGAGTAGTTCAATTTGGTTGGACCACACTCTAAAATAGAAAAGTGAAAGATGAGATTAGAAAAGTTAGATGAGATTCAATTGCAAGTTTAAGGAATCTAAAATCTAAGTGTTCAAGAACTATGGGAAAGATATTAAATATTAGGCAGAGGAGTGACATGCTTAGGGATCTTTAGAAATTGGTAGCATTAAGTGAGACAGTTTAGAGATCGGAGAGACCAGAAGCAGAAAGGCTAGTAAGCAATGGATTTCAATCAGTCAGTGAATGAAATGGATGTCAGAATATGCTAAGGACAGAAAGAGTGGAGAATGGACTTGGATGTGAGAGCTGTTGCAAAGGGTCAGTCAGTAAGGGTGGGTTCTCTGGAATCATTTAGACCAAAACAAATAAACAAAGAGCATGTGAAGTAATGCCAATATTGTAAGGCTAGGAAAATTAAAAACAAGTGATTCCAAAGCAGAAACAGAAGATAGAGGACGAAGAAATAGTTGGAGGGAAATTAGGACGGATAGGAAACTGTGCTTAGCCTTTTGACTTTTGTGCATTTGATTTTGAGTTTCTGGCAGGACCACCAGATAGAGGTGTTTCATTTTGTTGTTTTGTTTTAACTAAGCAGCTGGAAATGTAGGTATAAACCTCTCTTCTGAGTAGCACTTTTTCTCACAATCAAATACAGAAATGTTGTTAATACTAGTAGTAGCCTTCCTAATATTGCACGAAATAATGCAATCACAAACGGAATATAGGCATTTGCTACTCCTAATGCTAATTCCCATTAAGTATTGACAAATATGAAATGAGTGAGTCACATCATTTTATTATAGCAGATATTTATGTCTGTGTTCATAGCATGTTAATCTAGGCTAGGTTAGGCAATATTCTACTATGGAAAACCAAGACTTTATAATATGCAACAGTCCCAAAAGCAGTAAGTGTTAGGGCCTTAAGATTGAAGAATAGCTTTTAATACACATTTAAATGAGGATTATGATTTTTATATATGAAGACTTCTGATTCATTTATCCTTTCAGAGTGAGAGAAAAAATTCCAATTTATGGCTTAAATTTCCATTTGTATACTGTTGACTTACAAATTGCATATCTGGCCTAGACCTCTATCCTGAAATCCCACACACCATCCTACAGCTTTCTTGAAATGTTCAATTAGATATATAAACACTAACTTTAAAAGTAGAAGTGGTGCTGAACACAAGGGAATGAAATACAAAATTTTGAGGGTGCCTTTACAAAATCATTTAACACTATTAAATATTCATTTATTAAGTAAGTATGTTCTACTACCAAGTAATTATTCAAAGCCTTAAGTATGTATACATGGGCAGCAAAGATAGAGAGCATTGCTATACTTGACAATATTTTCTATTGGACACCAGCCTTGACACCAAAAAATTGAATTGCAGTCATTGTTATTATGGAAAATGTAGCGTTGTGTATATATCTCTTATTCCATTTTTTTAAATTTACTAACTTTTAATTTTTTTCCTAACTTTTCTGCAACAAAGTTTGTTTACCTAACATCATTTTATTTTAAATGTTGGACCATTTAGTTGAATTTGTAATAAATAATCACAATTTTGAAAGATATTTCACCTGATCACTATGAGTGTTCAACAATTTTACATTTCATGAATTGGAATTTAAAAACTAAGCCATTATTGGAATTGTTTTTTCTACTTGAAGCATTGAACAACTTTTGATATAAAACTGGTATCATACTAGCACATTTGTGAAGTACTTCTGTTAATGGAGCTATTACTTCACTTTTCTATATTTGCGCAAGAAACGTCAAAATCCAAAATAAGAAAAATTTTAGAAGAGAGATTCCATCAAAATAAAAATAACTATCAAAATAAAAAGTCAAACTTCAGAAAGAGATTAAACACACCTTTGGCAGTTGCATGCATGAAATCATTATCTCTGAATGAAATCTTTTAAAGTAGCTATAAGTGTTTGAGCTAGATGTTGGCCTTCTAATTTTTATGTAGTAAATAGAATCACATTGGCCCACTTGTGTTATAATAGTCGGCTTGGCTATCATAACAAAATACTGTGAACTGGGTGGTTTAAACAGAGATTTATTTCTCAGCTTTGGAACCTAGGACCTCACTGTTATGACCTGAGTATAAATTTATCTACAAAGAAGTTTTCAATATATATAATTTCAGAGAGGAAGGGGGAGAGAGAGATAGAAACATCAATGATGAGGGGGAATCATTGATCAGCTGCCTCCTGCATGCCCCCTACCAGGAATTAAGCCTGCAACCCAGGTATGTGCCCTGACCAGGAATCAAACCAAAACCTTCTGGTTCATACATCGATGCTCAACCATTGGACCACACCAGCCTGTCTACAAAGAGGTTTTTGTATATGTAATTAAGTATCTCAGGATGAGACCATTCTGGTTTGGATAGACCCTAAATCTAGCAAGTGTTCTTATAAGACAGGAGAAGGGGAAAGGACACAGAGAAGAAGGCAATGTGAAGATGGAAGCAGAGATTGAAACGAAGCATCTACAAACCAGGAAATATCAAGGACAGCTGGCAGCCACCCAAGGCTAGAAGAGAGGCGTGGGAGAAATTATCCCTCAAAATTTCTAGCAGGAATCAATCCTGCCCTCAGAACTCTGAGAGAATAAATGTGTTGGTTTAAGTCACCCCGTTTTGGGTAATTTTTTCTATGGTAGCCACAGTAAACTAATACACTACTGATATGCATATCTTGCTAAAATATGAAATACCAGCCACATGTTTCATTATACATAACATAGGCAATAGGTATAAACCAAGACTTATCAGGCAGCCTGCTTTAAGCATTTCTCAAAGTTAATGTATTCACTAAAAATCCAAATATTGTCCTCTTAGACTCTCATTTTTAATTTTCTCCTCAGTTAATAATTCCACGTTTCTACTTGCTGAGGCCCAAACGTTGGAATTATCGATACTGCTCTTTTCACACAGAGATTGAAACTATTAGTAAATCCCGTCAGCTCTACCTCTGAAATATGTCTAATTCCATCACTTTTCACCACCTTCCCTTATTGCTGCCTTACTCCAAAACTATTATCATCTATCACCAACTCCTTCCTGCTCTCCCTGCTTCCAATTTTGTCCCATCAGTTCCTAAATGTTGCAGCCAAAAACCTATTTTTAAAATGTAAGTCAGATAATGTAACTTGTATATCAAAACTCTCTGCTTTCCATGCCCTATGGATTAACTTGTGTCTCCAGAAAGACAGGTTGAAGTCCTAACCCTCAATACTTCAGAAACTGACCTTATTTGGAAATAGGCCATTGCAGATGTAATTAGTTATGTTAATACTAGAGGCCTGATGGATGAAAATTCGTGCAAGAGTAGGCCTTCCTGGCACAATGGCCGGCCGCAGCGGGTAGTGGAGCCTGTTTGTTCTGCTCGAGTAGCACCTCAAGTCGGAGTCTGTAAGGAGCGGAAGGGCTGAGGGACGCCTTCCCCGTGCCGCCCCCTCCCCAGCAGAACCGTGACTTCCGGAAGCCGGTCCATCCTTGCTGCTTGACACAGTCTCTGCAGGGAAGAAACATCTGCATAGCATATGCTTCAAGGGACCTGGCGTATATGGCTACTGTTCTTTAATATGTTTGCTCATCTTCTTGGTGCTATGTGTTTTAACCAAGGTCACCTCTCCGAGAAAGGTTGTTTCCCCAGGTAGGGATTTTTCCCTGAAGTTAGGGAGG